GGGATTACAGATCTGTGCCACCACGCCCGGCTTTCTTTTTTTCCCCCTTCTAATCTTAAAACATTGCTGCAGTAGTTCTCTATCCTGCATCACTTAACATCTACACAGATAGTAATGTCCTATGTAGGCTGCATGGATGAGGGAAAATGGTATGCTCTTTATTTCTGTCAGCTGAATGACTAGAAGGGGGAAAGGTAGATACTGAGGCTGATAACAAGCTGACTTTTTTCACTCCTTCAGGTTATCTTTGTTGTCTTGTCCTCCTTTTCCTTTTAAGACAAGGTCTTGCTGTATTACCTGGATTGGCCTCAAACTTTTGTTCTGGGTTTTTTTTTGACACAGCGTCTCGCCATGTAATTCACGCTGGCCTGGACTCACTGTGTCGCAGGGCGGCCTCTACAATTTGCAGTCCTCCCTTGGCCTCCTGATCTAGGATTATAGGCATGTGCCACCAAGTAGCTGGGGTTTTTTGTTCATTTGTTAAACCAGTTTCTTTTAGTAACTTTTTAAAAGTATCTTAGCTTTTTATATACATGTACATACACATATACACATGTGTTTTCTTTCAGCTTGTCACACTAATGAAACAATACAATATTTACACATGGGTGTCTTGTTACACTAATGAGTAACATTTTTAAATTACACATTTGAAGTTTCAGTATTTTCCACTGAGTTCAGCACTGAACATTTTCATGATTTCAGAAAGAAGCCTTATATTCTTCACCTGCCATCTCCACAATCTTGTATTGTCCTGTGCTAGTCACATTTACATTGCTAGGACAAAATACATGATATACACAATTTTAAAAAGAAAAAGTTTATTTAGGCCCATGGATTCAAGTATCGGTCCACAGTTGGTTGATTCCATGGTTGTGGGCCTGAGGTGCAACAGGTCGTCAAGAAGCTGCTCACTGGGAAACAGAAAGGAGAAGAGCCAGAGAAAAGTTACACCCTTGAAAGTCACAACTCCAGTGACCTACTTCCTCTGAGTAGGCCCTGCCACCTCATCATTCACTCAGCTATGAAGTCATGAGTTTTTAATCCATTGATAAATTTAGGGTCCCCCCCCCAATTCAGTCATCCCTTTAGATGCCTTTTAATCCAGTCAGGTTGATGTCAGGATTAGCTCAAGATTAGCTGCCTAACTAGAGGCAATCTATTTTTCATCTCTATTGATTTGCCTGTTTTTTACATAGAAATAGAATCATATAGTTTTTCTTTCTTTCTTTCTTTTTTAACCAGGACTTGATCTCAGAACCTTGTGCTTGCCTGTTAGGCACTTGTGCCACTAAGCTGTATCCCCAACCCTGTCTTTTTGTTTGTTTTGTTGACATAGTTTTGGTGTGTAGTTCAGGCTGGCCTTGAACTTACTATATAGCCTGGGATGACCTCATGAATTCAAGGTCATCCTGCTTCAGCCAAGTAGTAGAATTATAGGCATGTACCGCCATGCCCTGCGACACACTACAGTTTTGAGTAGAAGAACGACCAAGAAGGGAGGATTTGTAAAGAATGGCTGGAATATTGTACTTACCAGAATTTATCTTTAAGAGACAGGATGTTTAGATGGGCTTAGACCCTCCCAAATTCAACCTAATGTTTATAGTGAATATTTCCTGTAATAAAAATCTGCAATATAGCTCGGTATAGTGGCACATGTTTGTAATCCCAGCACTCAGGAGGCTGAGGTAAGGGGGTCCACTTGAGTTCAAAGCCAGCCTACACTATATATTGTCTCTAAATACATAAATATTCTGTAATATGACATTATGGTTATGTTTTCTTTGAAAGATCTTGAAGAATGGATAGAACCAAAACATAAAAATCCTATGTCTGCCAAATGGCAGTGGGAAATTGCTGACACTGTCCTATAGACGCTGATGATGAATGTGTCTGCCCTGGCCAGTGCACTACCTGCTAGCCACATGTGGTTTTGAGCATTTGAGTAAGGGCAGTGTGACTAAGAACCAAATTTTTAGGTTTGAATGAATTAAATTGGGTGTGGTGTTACACTTGCAATCTCAGCTACTTGGGAGTTGAGGTAAGAGGATCCCCATGTTCAAGATAAACCTGACAACTTAGCTAGACTTTGTCTCAAAGCGAAAATGCTGGGGATGTTGTGTAGCACGCTCCAAATTCCATGTTTCACTTTCCAAAGTTAAGTAAGTCAAAACATTGATAGAAATATTCTTCAAAATTAACATTCCCACATGACTAGTGACTGCTGTGTTTAAGCAATGAAGCTGTTGGCAGTAGCAGCTCTGAGATCAAGGGTAGCCCAAACATTCTGCCTGCCTGCCTTGTTTTTTTAGCACTGGAGATGAAAACAGAGCCTTCACTCTGAGCCATTATTTCCACCTGTTTTCATTTTGAGACCAGGTCTCTTAATGTTGCCTATGCTGGGCTCAAACTTGCTACCTTCCACCTCAGCTGCCCAGAGTACTGGAATTACAGTACTGTACCACCATGCCCAGACACCATTCTGTCTCTTACATTGTCACTTTAAGCAATGCTTCTATTCTGATTTTTTTTTTTGTTATTTTTATATTCCAATTTATAGCTATCATGATGAAGTCCTTGTGAGTAATTAAATGTGAGGGGTGGTTTTTGTTTTTGTTTTGTTTTTGCTTGTGTTGTGGATTTTTGAGATAGGGTCTCGATGTATAGCCCAGACTGGCCTCCAACTCATGGTGATCCTCCTGCCTTAGTCTACCAGTGCTGGAATTCCAGGTGAGTGCCACGATCCCCAGGGAGAAAAGTCATACTTAAGGATGTTGAGAGAGCTTCACATGTGCTTCCTTGGAAAGATGGAATTGAGGTATATTTTGTTTCTGTATGTAACAGCTAGTGGCGAATAGTGGCTTTTGTTCTTTCAGCAAACATGTGAAAAATGCACTTGCATGGCATTGGTGTATAATGATGAGTAAAAATCCTGCTCATGGTGGCACAGACCTATAATCCAGCACTCTTGAGAGGCTGAGGCAGGAGAATCATGAATTCTAGTCATAGGTGATTGAGTAAAAGTTCCCCTGTTCTAAATTAATTAGCCTTCAGTCTAGGAGAAGGAGACCTATCCACTAAAGTGTTACATGTATGAGGATATTCACACAAGGGCTGTGTGGGCAAGCAGAAATCAGAACAAACTTTTTGGCAAAGTGATTTTTCATTTATCTTGAAAGGTAAACTTTGAGAAAAAGACAAACGGTAAGATCTCCCAGGCAGAAGAAAGATGTTTCTGAGAGCAAATATGCTGTTACTTTTATAAAACTGTCGTGGTGCCAGTGATAGTGGAGTAAATTATCAGTGAATAGGAATTTGTACTAAACTTACTTGGATTTGTAGAGATGACTTTAATTTTGGAATTGAAAACATTGCTTTTTGATACCCAAGAGGTACTCATGTGTGAATGGCTTTGTGATTCAGGCTTGAATCCCAGAACACTAATCCTTGAAAGGATTTTTCTGACCCTCCATTTTTCTTACCTAAAAAATTGAAGTTTTAGTTTGTTGCATTAGTTTAATCATTTTTTTGTTTTGAGTTGAGTTGGTTTGGTTTTGAGACATGGTCTGGCTGTGTAGCCCCGGCTGGTTTCAAACTGCTGGCAGTCCTTCTGCTTCAGCTTCCCCAGTGCTGGGGTTACAGGTATACACCTAAGTTTAAACAGTTTTCTGCTTTTTTTAAATCTGTTGTTGAACTATTAGATGTTCAGTGTTCTTCATTAAATAAATGTTTCATTTAGACCCCCTATTTTCACTGTTGGTCAGATCCTCTTTCATATTATTAACTATGACTCCTTTTAATCTTTTGAAGCATTGACTTGTTTCCCCCTTCCCTTTTTCTTGTGGATTTTTTGAGACAGCATCTCATTAAGTAGTTCAGGCTTGTCTTAAAACTACATAGCCCAGGGGCTGGAGGCTTAGCTCAGCGGCATAAGCACCTGCCTTGGAAGCAGGCAGTCATGAGTTCGATCCCCAGTACCAATAAAAAGGAAAAAGACCAAAAAAAAAAAAAAAAAAGCTACATAGCCCTGACTGGCCTCGAACTTGAGGCAATTCTCCTCCCTCAGCTTCTGTAGTGCTAGGATTTTAGGCCACCATGTCTGGCTTCTTCTGTGTGTGTGTGTGTGTGTGTGTGTGTGTGTGTGTGTGTGTGCGCGCGCGCGCGCGCGCACGCACAGGCACACTGGGAATTGAAGCCAAAACTGCCTCACACATGCTAAAACATAGGCACTCCCTGAAAGAGTCCTCTAATTTCTCTAGTATCACTAGTAAAGTGTGTAAATTTTTGTTTGGAATCCTTACCAGAGGATTAAGCCATGTGTTTTTCTAGTTCAGTTTTTGTTAGATGTGTGTTTTCTTGTTACATGTTCATTGGTTCCCACTGACTAGGATCTCCGGCAAGATCTGCACTAAATCCTGACACAGATTAAATAGGGCTCTTACCTACCTCTTCTGTAGACACTATACACTGACAGATTCCTCCCTGTCAAATGAGAGGAAGGCTGTTTATCTATTTGTTTTGAGACAGGGTTTCACTATGTAGTATAAGTTGTCCTTGAACTTGCTTGTGTAGCTCAGGCTTGCCTCAAATTCTGTGTAATCCTCCTGCCTCAGCCTGCTTCAGCTTCCCCAGTGCTGGGATTGCAGATGTACACCACCATGCCCATCAAGGAAGGTTGGTCCGTCCACCATTTGTTTGTTCTCCCTCTCTCCGTCTCCCTCTCCCTCTCCATCTCTCTCTCCCTCCTCTTTCGACACTTGTGTAGTGCCTTGAACCAATCCTGGTGCCTCAGCCTCTTGAGTACTGGGCATATAGATGTGTACCACCATGCCTGGCAGGAAGGCTGTTTTTTAGTGTAATTGATTTGCCTCTTATCTTTTGAACCATTTGTAAATTTGAGCCTACTAATATGCTTTTTGTGGTACTGAGGGTTGAATCCAGGGGTGCTCTGCCACTGTGCTTATATCCTCAGCCCTTTTCCTCTTTTTTATTTTAAGACAGGGTCTCCTTAAGTTGCCTGGACTCAAGTAAAATTTAGGATTCTCCTGTTGAGCTTCCCAGAGTACCAGGATTACAGGTGTGTACCACTATGCCCAGAAACTAAGTCTTCATATATATGGTATTCTTACTGCATTTTATGTAACTCTTAATCATCTTAAAGTGATAACTGTTGGAATTCTGAGAATAGAGTCCTGAGGCAGTAGTAAGAAATATTGTGACCCTTTTGTGTATAAGAAACAGTATTAGCCGGGCGTGGTGGCACATGCATGCCTGTAATCCCAGCATTTGGAAGGCTAAGGCCAGGGGTATTGCTGTGTGTTCAAGGCCAACCTGGGCTACAAAGTGAGTTCAAGACCACCCTTAACTGCATGGCGAGACCTTGTATCAAAAAGACAAAAACAAAAAACAGTCTATTGAGGACCATGTGGCCGAAGGACCAGGTATGGTGATGCAAGCCTATAATAATCCCAGCACTCATGAGGCTGAGGCAGGAGGATTGCCAAGAATTCTAGGCCACCCAGGTCCACATATTGAGTTCAAGGCCAACCTGAACTGCGTAACAAGTCTGCTTTTTTAAAAAGTGAAAAGGCTAGTAACTCCCCTTACCCCGAGATCTCAGAATAGGGGTTCTTTATCGCTCAGCTTTACATTGGTAGTCCTTTTTGAGACAGGCTCTAAATTGCCCGTGTTGGCCTCCATGCTATCCTGCCACAGCCTCTTTTCACTTCTGTTTGTTTGTTTTTGTTTTCATTTTGATGCCCAGTCTTCCCCCTATGCTTTTTTCTTGTTGTTGTGGATTTTTGTCTGTTTGTTTTGGTACTGAGAATCAAACTCATGACCTCATGCTTGCCAGGCGTGCTATGCTGCTGAGCTATATCCCTGGCCCCCCACATGCTTTTATCTAGTGTCAGTGGGCACAGGGTTTCATGACACGTTTAAGAGTAGTCTTTGACCTGGTTTCTATTTCTTCGCAGAAATTTAGGCTAATAGAGTTGGAGTATAATTGATTTTTAGATCTTTCTGGCAGTGAGTTAAATCATTCTCATCTCTCCCAGTTGTACCATTTAGGGCTTCTGCCTAAATGGATTTTCAGTTTGAAAACTAATGCAATTACACATAAGTCTGACATTCAGTAAAATTAGTAATTTTAGTGTTCTTTTCTCATCTGGGAAAAATAGGAATGATGATTACACCTGTCTGGCAAGTGCAATGTCCCAAGTTCAATTCCTGATACCCATAAAAAAATAAGTAAGTCAAAAGTAAAATCAAAAAGGAAAAGGAAAAAGAAAATCCTTTTTTAAAAGAGCTCAAGATCAAATCAGTGTGTATGAGGAGACTTGACAGAACAGAGTAGTGTTATAGTGATTAAGGAACAGTCTATACCCTTTGTTAGGATCTGTTACAAAGTAGCAGATTCCAAAACTTTTAATAAAGGGCCATCTGCCTCAGAACTCAAGATTGCAGCAGTTGAGTCCTTGTACTGATCATTTGGATCAATCCATGGGACCTATACCACTGAGCTACATTCCTAGCCCTTTTCTATTTTGAGACAGGCTCTTAAGTTGCCCAGACTGGCCTGACCTGGAATTCTCAATATTGCAGCCTGACCCTTTGAATTGGCACTGTTGGCTTTTGGTGGGCTTCACATGTGTGTATTTATGTATGTTGGTTGAAGTTATAAAGTATGTGTGAGAGAGACCCTTAAAGCTGTAAAGTGGGTGTGGGTGTGGGTGAGAGAGAGAGAGAGAGAGACCCCTGAGAGACTTTGAAGTTGTAGAATTCCCCAGAACCTAACAGTACATCATGTAGGAGAAAAAAGGAAAGAATGATACAACTCTGTGGTCTCCACCAGAGAGCTGAGTACATTAGCACTGCAAATTTATTTTCATCATGAAGATTTGAAGAATTAGAAAGAGATTGCACCCGAATTGGGATGCTATGTGAAATTGATACTATCAAACAGAACAGAATAGAATAAAATCAGTCAAAACAAGATGGTGAGGGCAATACAGGGCTTCAAATCGAGTTAATAGGAAATCAAAAAAGTTACTATAATATATCCTGCTAATTTTAAAAAAAATTTCCCTTAATTAAATAATAAAAAAAACAAAATTTTAAAAAAGGGGGGGAGATTGAGATAAAAGAGGACATAACAACATAACAATACAGGTCAAAACAGAACAATTTAAGCAACATAGTGTTTCACCACAAGATAACCAGACTTAATAGTAGTTACCATAGTGTCTCTTTCCTTGAAATATTTTAGTATAACTTCATATACTGTAGCATCAACCATACCAAGACAGTGTAAAACCATTCAAGAGGATGAAAGTATTACAAGGTATTTAGAACCAGCTAACAGAAAACGAATAATGGTTTCTATATTATCTCTTTGCCTATAAAAATTTTTGTTTATACTATCACGTATAACAAAATCCAATAAGATACAACATGATAAAAGCAATGGAGACAGAAGAACAATAGTTTGATGGGACTTCAAAACAAGATTATATTAAATCAGCACTAGCTGTTACAACGTCTTGTTTTCTTCAGAATAGCTGTTCATATCATCACAGCCAGTAATATCAAACAGCCCAGAATAAAACCATTCCAATTAATGAATGAAAACTTTATAAGGCTTCAAAGCCATATAATGGAGAATCATGATTACCATATACTTTTATGTATTTGTATCATTTCTTACACTAGGGAATGAATTAGATTTTATGATGGTAGATTATTGGTGATGTCTGAGAAATATTACTAGAAGTTTGGCAGGAGGCAGGTTGGAGGGATATATGGAACCCAGTGAGTATGGGGCAGCTTCCCCTCACTGCTGGGACTACAAGTTGTGCCAGAACAAAGAAGGTAACCAAAGGAACCAGGGAGTAGGAAGATCTGTTGTTTTAAAATAAAGGTTGGCCTGAGGGTATACCTTAGTGGTAGAATATTCAGAACCTGTGTTCAAAACAATAAAATAAGGCTACCTTGCATATTAGTCATTGGGCTGCCTGTTCTGTGTACAAATTAGAATTGTGGGGTCTCATAGGCCATTGCACATAGCCCCCTATTTACTTTCCTTGGACACTCATTCTGCAATTGTTTGCACAGAAATGGGAAACACATTGCAGGTTACGTTTTGTTTCCGTGGTGACTGCTTATTGTAATTTGCTCAGAATGCTTTTCAAGATCTGGAGTAAGGTACATCTGTTTGTGACAGCAGAGCATATAACTTGAAATGGGTATTTTCTTTGCCTTTTCAGCACCATGAGTGACTTGAATGAGGTTGGTATGATCACTTACACATAAAGGTTTATTTACTTATTTTTAAATTTGTTGGTTGTTTGAGACAGGGTCTCACCTATGTAGCCCAAGCTGGCCTTGAACTTAGAGCAATATTCCTGCCCCAGCCTCCTGAGTAAAAGATTTTTAAACTTGAGACAATAATTAAGAACTTAACTAGGTATGGTGGCACACTTTTATAATTCCAGTTACTCAGGAGGCTAAGGTAGAACATTACAACTTCAAGCCAAACCTGGGGCAGTTTATCAACTTTGCAAGACCCTGTCTCAAATTTTATTTTAAAAAAGCAGTTTGTGTGCGTGTACTGGCTATGTAGCTCAGTTTGAAGTCCTTAGGTCAATGGTGGCAAACCTACAGCATGTGTGCTACGGTGGCTGTTAATTATCATTGAATGCTCTAAAATGTTCGCCATCACTCTCAGTAAATAATTGGCATTTAACAGTATTAAGTTTTCAAACCGTGTATGTAATAGGAACCTTTTCCTATTGAGATCTTCTGTAGTTTCTCTTAGCAGTTATTTGTAGTTTTCAGAATATACAGTTTTGGTTTTCTGAAACAGTTTGTGTCACCTAGGCTGGCCTTGAACTTATGTACCCCTCCTGCCTCAGTCTCCTGAGTGCTGGAATTACAGGTATGTGCCACTGCATCTGGCTTCAGAATATACATTTTTGTACTCACCCCTCCCCTGTTCCTTTTTGAGGTGGGGTCTATGTTCTTCATTCTGGCCTTGAACTCAGATCCTCCCTCCTCAGCCTCTGAGACAGCTGATATTGTAGGTGTACACAACTGTGTGTGGCTCTAGTTTTATACCTCTTTTGTTAAACTAACTACTTTTGATATAAATGACATTATTTTAGTTTTCATTTTCATACTGTTAATTGGTAGAGTATTAGAAATTTTGTTTTTTTACAATTGGTGTTGGTCTCATACCCTGTAATATTGTTCAACTGAATCATTTTTAATGAGTTCCTAACATTTCCCATATATAAGATCATATCAAAACTAAATTGTGGTGGCACATACTATAATCCCAGAGCTGAGAGCGGAACATCCCAAATTCACAGGTACCTTGTCCTAGGAAGCAAGAACCTGTCTCAAAACAAAAACAGCTTGATGTTATGGCACATGCCTGTAATCACAGCACTCTGGGAAGATGAATTAGGAAGATGCTGATCTTGAGTCCAGCCTGGGCTACTTAGCAAGACAGTGTCTCAAAGTAAAAAAGGGCTAGGCTCAATGGCCTGTACTAGGGTTGGGGTGGGGGAAAGAAATTATATATGAATTGAAATAGTTTGGCTATTTCCAAGGCAGATGCCTTTTTTTTTTTTCTCTTTGCAATACTGAGGCCAAATTGAGGGGCATTCTGACACTCAGCTACATTCCAGCCCTTATATTTTATTTTGAGATAGTCTTGCAAAGTTACCCAGACTGGCTTTGAACTTGTGATCCTCCTGCATTACCATCCCAAGGTACTGAGCTAGCAATTTGGGCCACTATTCCCAAATAAAATCTTCTGTGTGTGTGTGTGTGTGTGTGTGTGTGTGTGTGTGTGTGTGTATTACTGGATATGGAACCCACAGCCTTGCTATATTAGACACTGCCACTGAATTACATCCCCAACCTTCTGAATGCCTTTTATTTCATTTTCTTACCCAAATTGCTTTGGCTGAAACCTCAAATTTTATGTTGTATAAAGGTGGCAGGAATAGACCCCTTTTACTTATTCCTAGTTATATAAGGAAGGCTATTAATTCTTTTTTTTTTTTTTTTTTTGGTACCAGGAATTGAACTCATGACCTTGCACTTGCCAGGCAAGGGCTATGCCACTGAGCTATATCCCCAACCCCTTAAATCTTTTTTTTTACCCCCCCCCAATTATACTGTATCCTTAAATCTTTTAACAGTAAATACAATTTTAAATAGGAGTTTCTAGTGTAAAACCTTTTGATGTCAAGTGAATCAGTGTATGAGACGGTTTTGTTTTGTTTTGTTTTGTTTTGTTTTGTTGAGATAGGCTCTCACTATATAGTCAAAGCTGGCATTGAATTTGGGGTGATCCTTGTACCTCAGTCTTGAAACTGTTGGGATTACAGGCGTCTGTTAGATGCCTGGCTTTAGAAATTTGAACTCAGGTATACTAATTGAAGCCAGTGGCCACAAAACTGTGCCACAGCCTGCTATTTGTAGCAGTCTTCCTACCTTCTGAGTGCTGGGATGCCTGGCCTATGTGTGACTTTTTATGAATTCCATTTATAACACCTTTGTTTTGTATTTCAGCAATGGCTGCCATCCGAAAGAAACTGGTAATTGTTGGTGATGGAGCTTGTGGTAAGACATGCTTGCTCATAGTCTTCAGCAAGGACCAGTTCCCAGAAGTATATGTTCCCACAGTGTTTGAGAACTATGTGGCAGATATTGAAGTGGATGGGAAACAGGTGAGTTAACTTTTCATAATAACTAGTGCTATTTTACATGTTAGGCTCTTCATAAAGCCATTAGAGAATTAGGCCATTTGCCTCTTGATACAGTATGATAGAAATGCTGGAAAGGATAGTCTATTCTCACCTGTCATCTTAGTCCAGTTTTGTTCATTGATAAATTGTTTTCTAGACTTCATACACATTCTTAAGTGCTTTACATGAGGCAGCCCTAGTATATGCAGTCTTTCGAGCCTTATTTATTTATCAGTTGATTGATTGCCCTTTTTTTTATTTTTATTTTTTTTGGTGGCACCAGGGATTGAACTCACGGCCTCACACCTGCCAGGAAGGTGCTTATGCCGCTGAGCTAAATCCCCAGCCCCAGCTGATTGTCTTTTTGAGGCAGAGTTTCACAATGCATTGCAGGCTGGCCTTTGTAGCCCAGGCTGATCTCAAATTTACAATGATCTTCCTGCCTCAGCCTCCCAAGTGCAGGGATTACAGACATACACCACCACGCCCAGCTACTTAGACTTTTTTGTATGGTTGACTTTGCTTTTTACAATTCTATCAGTGTATCATACCAAATGCTCATTTATGTGATTAATTCAAGAGGTAGCCAGACGTGGTGGTACATGCATGTAATCCCAGCACTTGGGAGTCTGAAGCAGAGGGTTTGCCGTGAATTTTAGGCCAGCCTGAGCTTCCATAGTATATTCAAAGCCAGTCTACATCACATAGTGAAACCCTGTCTCAAAAAACAAACAGGGCTGGGGATTTAGCTTAGCGGCGCAAGCACCTGCCTGGCAAATGTGAGGCTAAGAGTTTGACCCCCAGAACCTACAACAACAACAAAAAGTGAATAGAAGCAACCCCATTAACTGGAAAGAGGTTGCTTATGCTTCTCAAAGGGTTATACTGATTGGATACCACCAGTAGTGTGACGTTTAAACAGTATTTCCATCTACATTTTAACACAAAATTGCCTGCTGCAGTTGTTTCAATGTCTTGCCTGATGGCAAAATCAACATTTCCCTGTGTCTGTCCTGAAAGCCCTAGGGGAAGACAAAAATAGTCCTTGTGGAATTTATTTTGTACTTTTTAAGTTTTCAGAATAATGCCTTACCTTGCTTCTTGTATGTGAAATAATTACCCTTGTATGTGAAAAAAAAAAAAAAACTTGAATACTCCAATGTGCTCAGTCCTGTTGGACACTCAGTCACATATCTCTTCTGTGGGGAATGCTGTCATAGCTTCACTCCCTTTTTTCTTGCCTGTTACCATCTTCCTGTACCAAAGTCACTTAGCTCTGGTTTGTGGCACCATATATGAAAACATGGTTCAGAGTATTTGAAATTCCAGAGTTTCTTGTTACAGAGCCTCCTGATAGTCCTGTGACCATGGGTGAACTGCCTATCCATTAAGTCCTCCTTCGTCATATTAGAAGTCCCATCATGGCTCTGTGAAGTAGTTGAAACTATTTGAAAGCACCACATTCTAAGATTGGCCCGAAAATACCACACTTAAACACTTTCATAGTTTGTATTTCATTTTATCCAAATGTAGGGTGAGGTACACAGACTGCTGTCAGGCCATTCCAGCCTCACAGAATTTTGAGTCCAACCTTGAAGGTGACTCTACAGTGCAGAGCATTGCTAGTTCAATGTCAGTTTTCTGCATGTATGCTTGGTTAGAGGTGTTTTTTCTAGGTCTTTTGAGCCAGGGACTCAGGATGTAGTCTCATCTGGCCTTGAACTCGCTATGTAGCTTAGGCTGCCCTGAAACTCACAGTGTGCTCCTATCTCTGCCTTCCAAGTACTGGGATTATATGTGTGCACCATACCTGAGTCTCATGATAGTTTTCTTGTGCTACCAATCTTGAGCGTGACTGACCATGGCAAGTCAGGACAGTCCCTCTTTCCAGAAAAGGTCTTGATTGGAGAAAAGTGTCACAGACTAGCTGGCTGCTTCAGAGAAATTTGGGAGCTCCCACGGTGGAGGGGGCACTGCCTGAGAATGTCCATATTCACAAGGAGAGTTGTGCTGGATTGTAGGTGATCATGTTCCCAGGAAGAACCTGCCCCAAACATTGCCCCTCTAACAAGAGATAGACTCATACCCTAAAAGCATTTATCAGTAGCTTGCTGAGGTTGGATGTTTCTGACTGAACACCCTTGGAGCATGGAGGCATCCAGGAGAGTGGGATTTCACAGGTAGTGTGCAAAGTATCCTTTCAGAGGTATGAATAAGTTGTAACAAGTTGAATATCAGTTTATCTTAGCTATATGTACCAAGCTGATGGTGTGCAAGACAGAAGGGCAGTGGTTCTTGCAGAGGTTCTTTAGCAGATCATTAGCCATGAACTGGCCAGGAAGAAATGTTTAAAAAATGAAATTTGGGGGCTAGGGATATAGCTCAGTGATACAGCACCTGCCCCGCAAGCACAAGATCCTAAGGTTGATTGCTGGAACCAAAAAAAGAAAAAGGAAAAAAATTGCATTGTGAAAGAATTAGAGTGTTCCAAGCATTATAAAGACAGGTGACCTAGCTGGCGGTACTGAAAGGGGACCTCCATCCAGAGCCCAGGCATCAGTTAAACTTCCTACCACAGAAAATGAACCAAGTAGCCGGGTATGAAAATAGTACTACCCCCTACCTTACAAAATGTTTTCTTGCAACCATTCAGGCAGGTCAGCAGTAAAGACAGAGCTGCCAGGCTTTTCTGTGACTTTAGGCTTTGTATAACATTTGGAACATCTGGCATAAAACCTTTTCTTGTTACTCAGATACAAATTTGCTGCACACCTGTAATCCTAGCTACTTGAGAGGCTGGGGCAGAAGTACCACAAATTCAAAGCCAGCCTGAGGATTTCAGTGAGAGACTTAATTTTTTTAAAATTTAAATTTAAAAAAATAGTAAGAGGGAGATATAGAGATGTAGGGATAGCTTGCTTAGCACACCGAAGACTGTGGGTTCAATCCACAGTAATAGAAGGTGTCAGTGTTTACATGCTAGAGCATAATGAAACAGAGGAAGGAAATGGTTGAGTGAGAATGTATTAAGGAAAGTTACTTGGTGTGACATTTCTCTTTACACCTGGTGCCATGTTTTTTATAATTTTGTTTGTTCCTTTTCTTTTCTTTTCTTTGGTTCTGGGGATCAAGCTCACGACATTTGTACTTGCTAGGCAGGGGCTTTGCTGCTAAATCTCTGGCCCTTGGTTTCCTTTCTTATCTGTCCACTTTCTTTCCTACTATATAATGTTATTTATAGTGAACACTTTTTCCTGGCCCAGCCCCTGCCCAATTTAGGGATTAAGCCCAGAGGCACTGCACCACTGAGTTACTTCCCTACCCCTTAGGTTTGTTTTTTGTGTAGCAGAAATGAAACTCAGGACCGCACATTTGCCAGGCAGGCACTGTGCTGCTGAGCTATATCCCTGGCCTGCCAGCCTTTTTTTGGGTTTGAGACAAGGTCTCACTAAATTGGCTTCAAATTTGCAATCCTGCGTTAGCCTTCCAGGTAGCTGGGACTATATATAGACACATACAACTGCACATATGTAAAACACTTCTTACAAAGTTATTTTCACCAGTTAATTTAAATTATGCTACTTGGTTCATTTCTTAAATCTGTTCTCAAATTTGCTATTTTGAGAAATCTGAAACCTAAAACAGTATAGGCACACATTCACCCAGGCACAGTGACCCATATCTATAAGCCCAGCACTCTAAAGATGAGGCATGGGGGCTGCAAGTTTAAGTCCAGCCAGGACAGCACATCAAGACCCTGTCTCATTTGCTTGTCAGCTTTTTGGCTAAGATCAAATGTACTATCTGTTCTTATCAGTTTGATTGTCTGATACATCCTCTATCTGAGGACAGTATATTAAAAAAACAAAAAATGACCCTGTCTCAAAATAAAAAGGTGTGGGAATGTAGCTCAATATGAAGGCCTTGCATTCCATCCCCAGTACGAAGGAACAAGGAGAATACCTCAGCATTTGGGTTTCATTCTCCTAAAAATTAAACACTCTTCTATTGTACTATTTTGGATGGTGTTGTCTTTGAATGTACTTTGGCAAGTGTCACTTTTTCTAAAAGTGGATAGTGGAATTAACCTCCTATTTCTGTGGTCATTTGTTTTTCCATCTTAGGTAGAGTTGGCTTTGTGGGACACGGCTGGACAGGAAGATTATGATCGCCTGAGGCCTCTCTCTTACCCAGATACTGATGTTATACTCATGTGTTTCTCCATTGACAGCCCTGATAGTTTAGGTGAGTAGCATTATAAGCCTGTTTGTCACCATGTGTTTACATGATGAACATGTGGTTTTTCAGACCTCTTCTGGACATCAAACAGAAAAAAAAGCAGGACTAGACTTTAGAAAAAGAGTCGTCAGTAGCCAATGTCCTCAAGCTTTGGAACAGTAGAAGTGGGCTATAGCTCCTTTTTTAGCCTCTATCTTGTGGGCTACAGTGATTGTTTTATTGTGGTGCTAGAGATGGAATGCACATAATGCTAAGCAATCATCATAATACAGAACTGTACCACTAAGCCTGTTCTAGTGTTTAAAATGTATCTGCCGTACTGTTCAGTGTAGTGGTTTACAACCATAATCTCAGCACTCTGGGAGGCCAAGGCAAGAGTTTTTACAAGGTTAAGGCCAGTGTGGGCAATTTAGCTAGACCCTCTCAAATAAAGGGTTATGGAACCGGGAATATAGCTCAATGGCACAGTGCCTGCCTGATAAGCACAAGGTCCTAAGTTCAATTCCCGGTACCAAAAAAAGGATTAGAGATTTAGCTCAGTGCAAAGGCCCTGGATTCAGTCCCCAACACCACACACAAAAAGTAGCAACCTTTTAGCTAGTTGTGGTGGGATTACAGATGAGCACCAGCAGGCCTGGCCTTTTGGAACTTTAAAAATGATAAGGGCTAGGGCTGGGGATTTGTCTCAGAAGTGTAAGCACCTGCCTGGCAAGTGCGAGTTCGTGAGTTCGATCCTCAGTACCAAAAAAAAAAAGATATGGACTAGTTACAATACAAGGTATGGTGGTGCACACCTGTAATCTGAGCTCCTGGGAGGCTGTGGCAGGAGGATCACCCTGAGAGTTTGAGGTCAGCCTGAACTACATAGCAAGACCCTGTCTTAGGAAAGATGGAACAAACTACATAGGGTAAGGAGAAGGCATGGTGGCACATGCTTGTGATCCCAGCATGAGTGGAGCTGTAGTTCAACAGCAAATGTTTGCCTAACATACACAAGATCAAGCTAACGTGTCAACCGAAAGCTAAGATCTGTTTGACAGATCTGAGCAGTTATTGTCTGCTGCTGAGAGTTCTACAGATACAAGAAAAAATGTCTTCATGCTTTCTGATTGAGGCAACCAAGATTAAATAGGCGAATAAATAGGGAAATCATGAAAAGTGCACACACACACACACACCCTATTAGGATTGAATCCAGGGTCTTCACATTGAGCTTGAACTTTGAACTTGGGTTGGGATCCACTTGCCTCAGCCTTCTAGATTTCTGAGAGTACAGCTATGTGTCATCATGCCCAAATACCTTTTAACTATTGAGAGTCATTTTTGAGCCTTTTTGTTTGTTTGTTTTTTAAAGACACTCACTATATTGTTCAAGATGACCTTGAACTGTGCCACCCAGGCTAGCCTCCAACTCAAAGGTGATCATCTCGCCTCAGCCTCCTGAGTGCTGAAATTATAGGTGTGCACCTCCTTGGTCAATTTGAGCCATTTTAAATACCAGCAACTGAGCCAGCATATGTCACATGTCTGTAATTACAGTACTTAAGAGGCTAAGACAGGAGGGTCACAAGTTTGAGACCATTTTAGACTACATATAGATCCTGAAAAAAAGAAGAAAGAAAAATACACAGGATGAAATTCACCTTCTAGGCCCCATGAGCAAGGTAACAAAGAAAATGTGCATCTGGGTCCATTTACTTGGACCCTGTATATAGAGAAAGTCAGCATTCTTGGTGCAATTGAGAGAGTGTTGATGCGGGGGCCTTTTTGTTGTTTTTGAGATCAGTGGGTTTCTGTTAACTGTCTAAAATAATTTTATTATGTTCTGATTTTAATTCTCTCCCCCCTTACTGCACTCCAGTAGCAAGCATTGAAGCTAGGGCCTTTGCACTGAGTTATATCTTCAGCCTTTTTATATTATTGAGACAAGGTCTTGCTACATTCCCCAGGCTGGTCTTGAAATTTCTGATCTTCTGTCTCAGCCTTCCACAGTGCTAGGATCCTAGCTGGATAGCACCATGCCTGGCAAGATGTCCAACATACTTCTAAAACAGCAATGATAATGTCTTAAGATGGAATTGTAATGTTTTCCCATACTGTGTGCATTTTTCTTCTCAAAGAAAACATCCCAGAAAAATGGACCCCAGAAGTGAAGCATTTCTGTCCCAACGTACCCATTATCCTGGTTGGGAACAAGAAGGATCTTCGGAATGATGAGCACACAAGGCGGGAGTTAGCCAAGATGAAACAGGTATGGCCTGGGACAAGCCTCTGTATTCCAGCAGCATTCTTTTTTTTTTTAATATTGGTACTGGGGATTGAACTAATGACTGCCTGTTTGCAAGGCAGGTGCTTATGCCGCTGAGCTAAATCCCCAGCCCCTCCAGCAGCATTCTTTTTTGTTTTTGTTGTTTTTTGAGCCAGGGTCTTAAAATATAGCCCAGATTGGTATTGAACTCACTATGTATGTACCCCAGGCTAACCTGAAACTTGCAGCATTCTTCTTGGCTCAGCCTCTTGATCAGTCAGAAGCTGGGATCAGAGGCGTATGCCACTACACCGAGCCTTATCACATTCTTGAACTTGGATGTTTATGACCACTCTCATTTGACATTCACATAGAGAAACATCAGCATGGGCACCCATGATGGTACATGCTGGCGATCCCAACACTCCTAGAGGCAGAATCACTGAGTTTGAGGCCAGTCTGAACTACATGTCAAGACCCTCGTGTCTTTTAAAAACAAAAAACACCCACCTCATTATGTCTCTGGGGATGGTTTTGTTTTGTTTTTATTTTGGGCTGTTGAACTCTGGACCGTTCACATACATGCTAGGCAAGTCCTGCATCACTGAGCTATATCTACAACCTGGAATGTCTCTTATAAAAGTGCCTTTAAGCACTGGCAGCCCAGGAAGGAACCATCCTAGTTAGTGTCTCAGAGCTTTAGTGGGCTTTTGATTTTCTTCTCTACTTACTACTGGAGTACTTGTGAGGCCAAAGATAAATTAGCAACTACTGCGTACTCAGAATACCTGAAGGCAAAGCTGAGTGTGGTGGCACATGCCTGTAACCCCAGCACTTAGGACACTGAGGCAGGAGGATTATTGCAAGTTCGAGACCAGCCTAGGCTATAAAGTGAACTCACGGCCAGCCTGAACTGCACAGTGAGACCCTGCCTCAAAAAGACCAAAAAAAAAAGAGAAAAACTAAAGGCAGAAAGTTCTAATGCCTTTACCTATTCCTTTATTATAAAGTGATGGTAGAGGTATGGGCTGCTAGCCTCTTAAAAGTCTGTGACCTGATGGCAGGGGACCTGATGATTTAATACTAGCACTTGCCTAATATCTGTGAGGCCCAATGTTTCATCCCCAGAACCACATAAACAGAAAATGCTGGCTGTGGTGCCATACACCTGTGATCCCAGTGCTCAGAATCCTGAGGAAGGAGGACTGTTGTGAGTTTGATGCCACTCTGGGTTACATATGGAGTTCCAGCCTACCCTGAACTACATAGTGAGGCCCTTTCTCAAAAAGAAAAACCCACTGCAATTTCTCTGCCTCAAAGCAGGCTTTAGTTCTATCCCTTGGCATTCAGTTCTCTATAAACTAGAGAAGCACCTAAAGGTTTGCCCTAGATTCCTTCTTTAATCTTCCAGAGCTGCTCTGACCTCTTATTTCTACTTCCCAGACAAGAGCACGTTTACCAGAGACATTTGGAGAAGGGTGATTATTGCATGGCATGATTCTGTCTCCAAGTCTTTTAGTAGAATGGAAACATTCTGTACCTATTTTGTGTATGTATGTAAGTAAGCACTCTTTTCTCGTTGCTAGGAGCCAGTAAAACCTGAAGAAGGCAGAGATATGGCAAACAGGATTGGCGCCTTTGGATACATGGAGTGTTCAGCAAAGACCAAAGATGGAGTGAGAGAAGTTTTTGAAATGGCCACGAGAGCTGCTCTGCAAGCCAGGCGTGGGAAGAAAAAATCTGGGTGCCTTGTCTTGTGAAACCTTGCTGCAAGCACAGCCCTCATGCGGTTAATTTTGAAGTGCTGTTTATTAATCTTAGTGTATGATTACTGGCCTTTTTCATTTATCTATAATTTACCTAAGATTACAAATCAGAAGTCATCTTGCTACCAGTATTTAGAAGCCAGCAATGATTATTAATGATGTCCAACCCATCTGACCTGCCAGGGTCCTTCCAACACTGCTCTAACAGCCCTTTCTGCACTCCACCTGACACACCAGGCGCTAATTCAAAGAATTTCTTTACTTCTTGCTTCTCTCTAGAGACAGTTGGTAACTTTTGTGAATTAGGCTGTAACTACTTTATAACTAACATATCCTGCCTCTATAATCTGTCAGTTGCAGGGAATTCTGAGTCCCCACTTCATAGCCTTACTCCTCATGGAGTTCACTGCATGGCTCTGGGGCAGGCATCCAGTTTTTTTGAAAACATGCTCAGCCAGAAGCCCCATGTCCATGCAGCTGTGGCAGAGTTACAGTTCTGTGGTTTCATGTTAGTTACTTTATAGTTACCATGTAATTAGTGGCACTTAATGTATGTTACCAAAAATAAATATATCTACCCCAGACTAGATGTAGTATTTTTTTCGAGGCAGGTGCTTATGCCCCTGAGCTAAATCCCCTAGATGTAGTATTTTTTGTATAATTGGATTTCCTAAGACTGATATTTGTCATCCCCACAGAGAATGTATTGGTGTTTTGTTTTGTTTTGTTTTGTTTTGTTTTTTTAAACAAGAAAGTGTATTTGGAAATAAAGTCAGATGGAAAATTCATTTTTTAAAAATTCCCATTTTGTCACTTTCTCTGATACCTAAAGGCTGTTGCCTCTCTCTGGACCCACATATCCCAGTGTTCCTTTCTAGAACTGGGTACTAGGAATTTGGTTTGAAGATGGCATAGCCTTTCTCACCTGGACTGCAGGGCCTGGCTCTAATTCACAGTGCTCCTTTCTCCTCACTATTGGGGTGCCCTTCCCGAGAAGCCGTTGGTTCTCAGGGATGACACTTGGTTTTTCTCTTCTCTCCAGCTGACTAAACTTTTTTTCTGTACCAGTTAATTTTTCCAACTAATAGAATAAAGGCAGTTTTCTAAACTTACTGTATCCTGTGTTTGTTTTTCTCCAGGGCAGGGGGCAGGAGGGTGAAAGAACTCAACACTCCTAGCAGTATTTACTGAGTGCAAAGTACCACTTGTGTGCCACACATGATCCATCATTAGCTTGACTCCTCCCCCAGATGTGACTGTCCTGTGTCATTCAGGTTGGGCGTCAGTGGGAAGCCCCCAGGGAGGAGACCTGAAGAGGGCAGTTTAGGCTGAATTTCCTCAGCCCTGCCAAGCTGTTGGTTCTACTTGAGGAGGCTAGAGTATTGTAGGAGTACCCTGTTGCGGAGCACCTGTGTAAGGACACTGTAGCACTAGGGATAGAAAGGAGGAAGACCAGAGGCCTAGATGTGAGGCTAGAAAAAGAACTGTCTTGGAGCCTGGAGCCCTGTGTGCTACTGGTATGCACCCATGTATTATGCACCTTCCTCTAACTTGCCTATTTTGCTTCTTGAGACACAGTCTCAATATGCAGTTCAGACCTTCAACTGGTAGTGGTCATTTTGCCTCAGCCCTCACAGGCATGTGCCAGTATGCCCAGCAATTTGCCCCTAAAGCCACGGAGAGCTGGTGTGGTGGATGCCTCTGATCCCAGCACTGGGTCAGATTGGGTAGGAAGACCACTGTGAGTTTGAGGCCAGCCTGGGCCTCTATTGTGTGAGACCCAACACCGTTGTAGCTAGCTAGTGGCACATGCCTGTAATCCCAGCACACTATAGAGGCTGAGGCAGGAGGGTTACCTTGAACTCCTGGAGGCCAGTCTGCTACATAGTTCAGTCCCAGCCTGAACTACATAGGTCTGTCTCAAAAAAAAAAAAAAAACTCATAGAACTTGCCTTGCCAGATGCAGTCAGTAATACCATTGCCGCAAGTCAAAACTTAATGCACCAGGGCTGGGGATTTAGCTCAGCGGCATAAGTGCCTGCCTTACAAGCAGGCAGTCGTGAGTTCGATCCCTGGTACCGATAAAAAGGGAAAAGACAAAAACAAAAAAAACAAAAAAAAAACATGCACCTGGCAACAGTAGGGTAGATGTTGGGAGAGTGACATGGTGTAGGATGAGGACTTTGTGCAGGAGCTGTTTCCTCTTCCTCAGCAGCCCCTCTTCGAGGTTTTGCCCCACACCACAGTCTTGGTAACTAGGCGCGGCCTCCGGGCCAGACCCAGCCTGCTCTAGCTGCCCAAAATGCAGCTGCCGGATGGTCTGGGTGGAGCTGCCTTAAACCAGGTCACACCCTCCCGCCTGTCCCTGCTGGGGGAAGGGCAGTCCGCCCGGATGGGCGGTGGCCGGATGAGGCGTGACCTTCAGTAGGGAGGAGCTGAGCTCCCGGAAAAGTGTAGGTGCCACGTGACCCGCCAACGAAAAGGCGGCGGCTCAAGAGCACTTAGTCGTTTTGTGCTTTCGTCATGTGTGCTGCTCGGTTGGTAGCGGCCGCTCAGGCCACCGTATACTCCTTCTCCGCGCGCCCGCTGGCCGGGGGGGAGCCGCTAAATTTCGGCTCCCTGCGAGGCAAGGTGCTGCTCATTGAGAATGTGGCCTCCCTTTGAGGCACCACGGTCCGGGACTTCACCCAGATGAACGATCTGCAGGCGCGCCTCGGGCACAAGGGCCTGGTTGTCCTCGGCTTCCCGTGCAACCAGTTCGGACACCAGGTGCAGTGGGCGAGAAGTTGGGGAGGAGTAGGGTGGTGGCCACGGCCTGGGCGCCAAGAGCAGGCCATTGTCGCCTGCAACCCAGGCCCGCCCTGGGTGGTACAAGGAGGGCGCCATTCTGGTGACTCGCGCGAAATTCTGCCTTGTGGTGAGAAGCTACCCGCCTTGTTGTCTCGGATGGTAGCTACCTTTCTCTTTCCTTAGGAGAACGCCAAGAACGAAGAGATTCTGCATTCGCTCAAGTACGTCCGACCCGGTGGTGGGTTCGAACCCAACTTCACTCTCTTCGAGAAGTGCGAGGTGAATGGTGCGAAAGCACATCCACTCTTCACCTTCCTCCGAGAGGCCCTCCCGGCGCCCAGCGACGACCCCATTGCGCTCATGACCGACCCTAAGTTCATCATCTGGTCCCCGGTATGCCGTAATGACGTGTCCTGGAATTTTGAGAAGTTCCTGGTGGGCCCCGACGGTGTTCCGGTGCGCAGGTACAGCCGCCGCTTTCCTACCATCGACATCGAGCCAGACATCGAAGCTCTGCTGTCCCAGGGGTCCGGCCCAGCATAGGGCGCCCCTCCTATCCCGCCTTGGCAGTTGCCAGATGCTCTCCTGGGGGTTCTTCCATGAAGGTGTTTCCTCTCAACCTGTATAGAGGAACATCCGATTCCCAGGAATTTCCCAGAGAGGGCCGCTGGCCCTGTCCACCCCGCCTCCTTTCTGCCCAGACCAAAATGATTTCCCTTATAATAAAGCGCTGGATGTCACACAACTGTGTGTCGGTTCTGTGGCAGTGCCAGTGTGGACACCTTGTCTACAACCTCCTTGCCTTAGAGGTGGGAGCCCAGTCTCCAAATGGGAACTTCTGTCTGGGTCCTGTGCTCCTAGTAGTGGTTTTCTTCTGAGAATGAGATGGGACTGAAATGACTTTCACAAAATACAAGCTGTGCGCACAAACTGAATTTCTTCCAGGTCTTAGACCCACATTAGCCTATTTTATACAACTGAAAACTCATCCAGGGACTGGGGATTTAGCTCAATGGTGTAAGCACCTGCTTAGCAAGCGCAAGGTCATGAGTTCAATTCCCTGGTACCAAAAACAAAACAAAACCCAACTCACCCAGTATTACAAGTTTGTATACAGACTTTCCATATTGCTAACCAGTGTTTTTATGGCTCTATAAAAATTCCTTGCCAGGCCAGGCATGGTGGCTCACGCCTGTAACCCCAACACTCAGGAGGCTGAGGTGGGAAGATCATTGCAAGTTCAAGACCACCCTGGGCTGCAAAGTGAGCTCAAGGCCAGCCTGAACTGCATAGTGAGATCCCGCCTCAAAAAAGACAAAAAAAAAAAAAAAAGAAAAATTCCTTGCCAGTTGCTGCCATCCGTGTTCAGTGTAAACAGTGTACATTGTGACTGGCCTTTCTGACTTACCTGAGACCCAACATTTTACTGAGATAAGTGACATATCTCTGTAGCCAGGTGCTGTCACACAAGTCCACCCCTCCATCTGTTGACCCTTTGGGCAATAATCTCTTAAAACACACTAAAAGCAGTCCCTATCTGCACAGAGCACCTCCCTCCATAGCACCAGTATGCAGTTTATACCTGGACAAGCAAGGCCCAGAGACATTTGAGTGGTATCAGTGTGGGCCAGAAGTTCTAGTGTCCCGCAGTTCTGCCCAAATTGATGACTATGTCTGAATCAACTTCAAGAACTTTGCTTCTGATCCTAAGCATAGAGCTTTTGCTGTGACCCCACTGTCTGCCCTTAGTTCTCTGAGGGTCCTTAGCAGTTGCTCTGGCTTCCCTCTGTTAGAACTCACTTCCTTCTGGCTACAAGGTCTCTCCTCTCAGCTTTTTATTTATATTTTTATTTACTTTTGGTTTCAGGTACTGGGAATTTTACCAGGGCATACCCAACTGAGTTTTACATTTTTATTTAGTTCGGTTTTCATTTGTTTATTTGAGACAGGGTCTCACTATGTAGTTCAGATCTTCCTTGAACTCTATGTAGCCCAGACTCCTCTGGCACTCAAAGCATCCAGCTCCAGTCTCCCAAGTGCTGAGATTATAGTTGTGTGCCACCACAACCCAGCCTCCCATTGAGTTTTTTAATTATTTGACAGGATCTTGCTAAATCACTAAATTGCCCAGGTTTGGAATTTGTTCCTTCCTGCCTCAACCTCTCGCTGTGCTGGGATTACAGGCTTATAGCATTGTGCCTAGCATTCCCTCAGCTTTTGAGTTCCCTTTGAAGTGACTAAGGCAAAACTGCTTCCTGTTAGGCCCCAGCCTGTGTTCCTGACAAAACCCCCTGAAGTCTTGATTGCATCTGCAAATGAATAGATTTGCTTTCCCAAGGGTTAAGAGACAGGAGGTATAGTGGCTGTGGTGGAGCACAGTATACCTGGCCACCAGTGACCCTTATGTGCCATGTTTCTGTCTTCCGCAAGAGCACTGTACTCATCACTGACTTGCCACAATAGTCATCATTTGGTCCTGTGACATGTGCTCTACTGGATGCTTCAGGAAGGCACAGGTACAGTATCTAATTACTAAAAAAGCATATTCTGTAAGATAGTAGAGGGTGCTTGGAGAATAAATAGAAGGGCCATGATTGTGTCCTGGAGCAAGGAACAGCAGTACATTACAAAGAGAAACTGAAATCAAGGAAATAACTGATTCTGGGTTAAAAGGCAAGTATAATGTAAAAAGGCCTGAGACAAAGCTGTATTTGGTGTATAAGATTGAACAAGGCATTTGCATACCAAGCATACACTCTACCACTGAGCTATATACCCCAGCCCAAGAAAGTGTAGCATTACTGGAAAAGATAATGGCACAAGGAGGAGTAAGTTTTGCAAGAAGGTAGATCAGATTGTTAAAGGGAGCTGAACTAGTGAAAAATATTATAGGCAATCAGGGCAGGGCCCTCAAAGAAGCCAGAGTAGAAGGTCAGATACCTTGCAGCCTTGGAAAAGACAGTCACCTGCTGTGGGCCAGATCTCAAGACAAAAGACAAAATAAACAACATCCTAAGGATCCACAGTCCAAACAGTTCTCTATTGCCCTGAGGAAGTCAGGAGTCAGCATCTTACCCCCCAACAGGAAGAGTCACTGCTGTTAAGCATGCCCTGTTACTATGTGACTCTTCCCCATTTCCTCCTAATTCAGTCAATTTTACTTAAGCAACTAATCTTATTGCTTGACCACAGTTCTGTCCCACCTTATGCCCACCTTGGAAATTCCCATTTTTTCCCCACCTTTGACCCATCTAATCTCATTAATTTTACTCCATAACAGTCCCTGGAAAAGATAAGAGTCCTTGGCAACCCTTCTATGTCTCAGACAAAAGCTTTCTTTCTCTCAGTAAATATATTCTGCTCTTAACCTCCGTTGTTCCTAAAACTGAGTCTTCGATTTTAGAGAACATGAACTCATACTGGATATACTAGGTTGGGATTTTCATTCCCCTATATCAAGATGAGTTACACGAGTCAGATGTGCTGTAATCTCAGCACTCTGGGAGACTGAGGCTGGAAGATTTCAAGTTTCAGCCTGGTCTGGGCAATTGAGAGACTTGGTGAGACACTGTCTTAAAAAAAAAAAAAAAAAGATTGAGGGGTATATTGTGTAGCTTAGTAGAGAAGTTTAATCAGTGCTACACACAAAAAAAACAGTAAATTAAAAAAATTATATATGGGTTGGGGATTTAGCTCAGTGGCATAAACACCTATCTGGCAAGCACAAGGCATGAGTTCAATCCCCTGTACCCGCCCCCCTAAAAAAAAAAAAATCTATCTATCTATCTATCTATCTATCTATATATATGTAAAAGATGTTTTACATGAGACACTCAGGTGGAGTTACCTGGGACAGGTGATTTCAAGGGCCTCCAAGGAATTTAGAACTGGTTTTAAAAAACAACACAGTATTTAGAACTAGTCATGGTGGTATATCCTTGTAATCCCATGATTTGGGAGGTTGAAGCAAGAGCATTTCTGTAAATTCAAGGCCAGCCTGGACTATGTATTGAGTTCAAGGCCAGTTTAAAGGGCCAGGGATTTAGCTCAGCAGTGTAAGTGCCTGCTTGCCAAACTCAAGGTCCTGAGTTCCATCTCCAGCACCAAAATTAAATTAAATCAAATTAAAATTAAAAAATAAAAAGGACTGGAGATATAGGGCAGTGGCAAAGCACAAGCTTAGGACACAAGAGTCTTTGGGGTCACTCCCCAGCATTGCAAAAACGAAGAGGGAAAAAAGACCAAAAGTAAACTGAGTATGGTGGCACACACCTGTAATTCCAGCACTCAGGAGACTGAGCAGGAGGATGGATCACTTCGAGTTCAAGGCCAGGCTGAACACTACATAGTGAAACTGTCTCATAAAGATACACATGCGCACGCACGCACGCACGTACACACCCAAAGCCAGAAGTTCTGCTCAGATCAATGTGGACTGAGTGCTCCTCAAACAGCACTGGAGAAGGGCAGCTCAAAGAGGCCACATAGCCACAGATATGAAAGGTACCAGGTCCTGTCCTACGAGCTGAGTCACAGTATTGAATCAGCTGGTGCTTGTGAAAACATCTGCCACAGTGTACCACCACGGCACGGGGTTGGAAGGTTGGGGCCCAGGACTACCTCAGGGACCTTCCAACTGGACCTCTCCAGTGCTCCTGTTCCTGTGCCAGATCAGTCCAAAGGGAGGTCAGGACTGGACTTTCCAAAATGACCACCACTTCCCCCAGGCTGTCTGCTGACTCACCCGTGCTTACCACTTCTTTCCTCATAATTTATGTTTTGGGGTGCCAGGGAAGGGAAATTCTGAGCTGCCAGCACTGTTGATCCTGGGCAGGGAATATTGCTTCTCAAAATTGCTTTCCTCCCTGAACTAAAACTTTTTCACTACCCCCTCTTTTTCAAGAACACTCAAGACAGTTAAAACTTCAGTGTTTTCCAATAAACTGGATCTCTCTCTCTCTCTCTCTCTTTCTCTCTCTTTTACTACTATACCAGTTCTTTGCTCTGATTTGTGCCTACCCTGCTTTATTGTGAATCAACAGCTCAATAGGACATGTAAATTTGGGCATAGTGGTACTGCCTATAATCCCAGCATTGGAAAAACTGCAGCAGAGCCTCAAGCTTCAAGGTCAACCTGAAGTATACACACAGCTAGACCCTGTCTCAAAACCAAAAACAATAAACAAAAGAACAAACTAAAGACTGAAAGCCTGCTGAGGACCTGGCCCTGGTAGACCTGGCTGCAGGCAGTGTTGGCTCTGGCAACAGCAGTGTTTAGGTCAAGACAATGTGAGAAGGGAAAGAGCCAACTGTCACTCAGGCTGAAAAACTTCTTTAGCTATTTTAGCAGAAATGCTATTTAAAAAAAAAAATCAAGTCAGATATGGATTGCACAACTAGCTCTTGATCAAATGACTTCCTAATTCTGTTTTCAGTGCAGTTCCTCAAACAACATTTTTTTCTAGTCCAAGCTGGCCTCAAATTTGCAGTGATCCTCCTGCCTCAGCCTCCTGAGTGCTAGGATTACTGGCATGTGCCACCATGCCAAGCTTCAAACAACATTTAAAGGAAATTTATCTTCAGGGAAAAATGATTTGTAATAAGTGCTCCTGGCTTGATTAATTTAATAGCTCTTTTATAAATATTAACTTCTGGATAATACTGAGATGAAAATGCTGGCTAAAGATGTCCTAAGACAGGGGCTGGGGATTTAGCTCAGCGGCATAAGCGCCTGCCTTGGAAGCA